TATATATATATATACACACACACACACATATATATATATATATATATAAATAATATATATAATAATATATATATATATATATATATATATACACACACACACACACATATATATATATATATATATATATGTATATATATATTATACAAATATATATATATATATATATATAAGGGCGCTGTAGCGCGTTTGGAAACAAGATTATTCTTCTGATCAACTGTTAATATAAAATCGTCCACGGCAGTCACTATATCGGTACATGTATGGAACTCATATGGACTGCGGTATCGAGCTACACACTTAGAGCGTACGTGAACAGCAACCATACTAAGGAGCTTTGTAGAACGTATCACTAACATTCGTCCCTGAAAAATGGTGTTATTTGAGCACTCAGGGGTATAAGGACTTCCGATGATTTCTGCTTAGCGTACACATACAATGTTCTGTGCTAAGCCTTTCATTTGTAAGCCATATATCGAGTTGGTATTTCATATATTGATATATATCAGTGTGTTGTGCCTAATGATATATGTGTGTGGGTGTGATCATCTGTCCCGAAATAATGGATCTTTACTGTACTATCTACGAGCGGAACTCGTCCCCAAATAATACGAATCTACCCAATTAAGCCTGGAAGATACCAAATCTCGATGATTTCCCCAAAAACAATAAGCACACCTGAATTATTGCTGAACACCGTGTCGTGCATAGTATTATTGCTGAGCACACCGTCAGTGCTGTCGATTGGACTTATTGCGCTGTACAGCGCCCCCGAGCCTACGGCCAACTACAAACCATAGCGTAGGGGAGAGAAGTCGCACAATAGTTAGAACATGTTCTCTCGGCTTGTACGTTTGTAGATACTATTGTGTGTAGAAATCGGCAGGTATTCTTTTATTGAATACAATACAAGCATATATGGAGCTATTAAGTATCTTTGCTAAGCAAACAGCTTCAAAGCGTTTAACTTGGATAACTGGGCAGGCATGTTGGTGACCAATACTGTGCACAGCTCAGCACAAATCGGTAAGAATATTTTGCGGGGATGCCGTTAAAACCCCAAACCCTAAATCCTTTGCACACATATCACACAGGACGTAGATCTTAGTGCCATGTATCCTACAGCCAGAGACGCTACCAAGATAGCTGCCATCAAACTACCAGTGCCAATGTCTACCATCCATTTGCCATGGATTCACATTTCTTTTATTTACTTTCATTGAGATCGGATACATAAGAATATGTCAGTCTGCTGCGGTGGTACAGGTCACACCAGGCAGAGTTTGAAAGAGACTATGAAATGCTTGGCCTACTTATTCGCGTGCTTCCACTCTGAAGTTAAGGCGAGCACTCGAATAAGGTCACAGGCGATGCTGAGGGTATACGCACTGCATGTACAATATACTTTGTGGTACCGCTCCTAAGATAAGGATGATCACTAGAATAGCGTTAAATGCGTTTCCCAATCGTTGCATGAGAGTTGTGTCGTATTGCGACAGACCCTCATAAGCGTTTCGTGAACGGCCATTGACATGGAGACTTCGGAGCACAAATGTATCCGTTCGGATGATAGAACGAGCACGACTGTCCCGATCTCCAATCACAAATTCGCAGAAACCACAGACCCCAGACTCGCCTATACCTGCACAGGCGGACAGCCATACACGTGTACACAAATAACAAATCACTAGGAACACTTGCCACTCACAACTAACTACACAAATATACAACGCACTACTACACACAAACCACAGACCCCAGACTCACCCATACCTACACAGGAGGACAGCCATACACATGTACACAAATAACAAATCACTGGGATCACTTGCCACCCACAACTAAGTACACAAATATACAACGCACTACTACACACAAACCACAGACCCCAGACTCACCCATGCCTACACAAGGAGGACAGCGATAAACACGTATACAAACAATTAGGATCACTTGCCACACACACCTAAATGCTCAAATATAAACGTATTACTACCCACAAACCACTGAACCCACAGACCCATCTCTACCTACACAGGCGGAAAGCCTCACATATGAATCCAGGCAACCAGGCACACGCATCACGGACAACCCAGTGCACACCTCAGCACGCCAAGACAATACGGTAGTGACGAGTATTGGTGCGTCGCCACCTACTTACCGCAGTGTTGCGCACAAACTGTCCGTTGTTGCTGAATTCACACCGTTCAATAACCGTATCGTACCACGTGGCAATCATCACAGCCGCCCGATGCGCCGTCTGCCACGGCGGGAACGAATATTGGGATCAGCATGAGTGTGTTTGCACGATTGTACGTAACCGTCCCGATTTTTGTTTTAGGAAACGAAGATCTTGGCCTGAAATTGGCACGTGTTGTAGGTGGGTAACGACCTAGATAGTATTCAGGCGAGACGCGAGGAATGTATGCACGACAACATACGTACGTATTAGTGTGATGATAGCTGACAGTCGATGCCCACGGACTGTCAGTACTATCGTGGGGACATGAGGTCTGAGATACAGTACGCTAGGCTTGCATCTACACAAAACCGTTATTGTACGAAGTAACACCCATTTAAAAAACAGCCATAGCTATACAAGTGCGCGTGGTTAACACCACTTACTGCCAGCTCGGAGGTGATATTCACTACTGGGTTGAACCCGTTATTCAAAAACTTCATATCTCGCAGATGCACCTTGGTTGCAGCTATTTCCACAGCCCTGTCTGCAACGCCAAATCGTCGACAATCGAATTCGGGTGAACAATGGCCGTTTGAAAAATTCATATTCAAATTCAGACACAATGGTAGCAGCGAGTTCCGCAGCACCGTTGACAAAGACAACCCGTGCGAGTGGCGAATGTGAGGTGAAATCAATATTTGAAATAAATCATCCATATATCCTTCAAAAACACTCAGATACTTGCAAATACAATTGTAGCAGCGGTTTTTGCAGCACTGTTGACAAAGACAACCCGTGAGAGTGGCAAGTGTGAGGAGAAATCAATAGCTTAAAAACTGCAACTTCATATCCTTCAGATACACTCAGATGTATGCAAATAAACTTTGGTTGCACTATGCACCCACAACAATGATAAGCATGACCTACATTTCAGCTGAGATAAATAAATGAACCGAGGAATTGGAGAACCTCATTTTATTTTAGCAACTCGAAATATGAAGAACACCATCTCGTACAAACCAAAACCCCGTAACTTGATCTGCGCTCACATATCACACCCACCAGAGTTACATATAGGCTTCAAACCTCCAGGGAAGCATGTCCGTATGTGTATCACCTTCCGTTTCATACCAATACAGTCGCGCGTAGTATACATAGCCGAGCGCACTAACTGTGTGATTAGAGAAAATAGGAACTAATTTATGATACCAAAAGCGCGTCACAAACCATATATATATACATCTATATATATTTACATGTATTGCTATACATATATACATAGACATATATATACATATACACATATATATATATATATACACACACATATATATTTATACAAATATATATATATATATATATATGTATATATATATATATACACACATACATACTTGCATACATACATACACACACACAAATACATACATACATACATACATACATATATATATATATTAAATACATACATACATACATACATATATATATATATATATATGTGTGTGTGTGCGTCAGTCTGGGTACCTGTATTTTGATATTTCTCATACCGGCACAGTCACGAATGGTAAACCCCTCCAGCACCACCGTCTCGATGTCCACGTGATCGTCTGACAGGCGGTAGTGCAAACTTGGTACCATCAACAGACCGTAGGCGATACCGGGCGCGCACGACAGAGTGACAGGAGAACATCCTCGTATGACTACGGTCCTACATTTCGCATAGTGTTGTACAAGAAATTGTGTATGTGTGTCAGTGAGCGTGCGCTTATATATATATATATATATATATATATATATATATATATGTGTGTGTGTGTGTGTGTGTGTGTATAGTACGTACCGGTACCGTACCGTACCGTACGTCGTACGGTTCGGGTTTAACGGGGTTCGGGTTCGGTTCCGGGTCCGGTCCGGTCGGTACGGTAAGT